TACACCATGGTACAATTTGAATTTGGTCATTTGGCAAAACTGGTGATGGAGCACTATCCTGAGTTTGAGAATAGGGTAGCACGTGGCATCCCTAATTATGACGTGTAGCTAGTATAAAATAAAAATGTATTTTTAGCATCTAAACTTACCCATAATACAGTTTACATTTAAACCTTAAGTTTGGTACTAATGTCTACCTTTGAATTTTGGTAAAATTCACACTTTATGATACGAGAGACGATGACTCACATGTCGTTTATGGCGATGATTATGCAGTCTGCAACGTTGCCGATTTGTGCAGCAATATTTTGTTTTCACTTATAATTAAATATAAAATATTAATAGGATAGATATATCGTTTCTCTTGTGAGGAAAAGACAGTGCACTGTATATTTAAATGGAACGCCAATATAGTTGGATACGCGTGGTAAAAATGATCCTCTAATGCTGCTAAAAACATAGCTAAATTTTCATGAAAACACTGTACTTTTGACATTTGCGATACTCCGTCGCATACGCATTATTGATGTAATTTCATGATTTTACAGTACAAGTTTTTGCAATCTTGAGTGTGATTTTAAGGTTATTCGTTTTGTTTGGTTCCGATCCTTTGCGTTTTTAGAGTATCTGTCTTTTATAGTTATAGTTTTTAATTTGAATTTTAATTGTGTGGTCCATTTACAAGTACCTGTTTCTAGTTGATATCTACCTAATCGTCGTCGGGTTCTTGCAACAATGGGAAAAAGTGTATGGTTTTGAGGTGTAAAAATCAAACGCCTTCATTTTTTAGGTAAGGATGACTAGTTATTTTTTACTTAAAAGGATAGTAATACATCCTGGTTGAGGGTGCGACTGTTGCGTTTTAGCTATCTGAGTCAAATTGTCAGCTGTGTCCGTTTTTTTGGGCACCCAGAACCGAAAACTATATAGTTATATATCACTTTTTTTAGAATAACTTTTAATAGGTATGAAGCTTGGATGAGGGCTTTAGGAAGAGATCCTAAGACTGAAACGCTGACTGCCATAAATGCCGTAATTAGTGCATATTTCATAGAAAGTGACTTCATTCTAGCAAGAACTAGGTAACGTTTAAAAAACATGCTGTACCAGCTATTACTTTAAGACCTCGTCTCATAAGTTAATATTACTTCATTTTAAAGCATATATTAAAATGGTTTTTAACTTGTGCCCTTATGATTAAAAGATGTAGGTATATTAGTTGTTATAATAGAAATATATGCTCCATAGTATTGACCTGCTGCATGCTGGCCGCTTTCATAAATTGTCAAATTATTTAAATACAAATACATACCTAGCTATTTTCTGTAAATAACATTAAAAATGTAAAAAACTTATTTTTCATCTATTAAATTGTTATTAACGATAAAGAATACTTTTAAATTATTAAAACAAAAATAAAACCTGAATCGCTAACTTAAATCACTGAAAATAAGTTGCTTGAGATGGGGCCATTTTTATAGAAAATTTTAATGTTATTACTTTACTAACACTACAGTTAATTTATCTTAGCGCGTTTTATTAAAATGTAAATGTATTACTCTAATGCTAATGAAATTAATACCGCTAATCAAGGTTTTAGGCCTCGTCACTTTAACATTTTTATGCTTCCAGTTGATATGTGTGTGTAACGAGATCTATTGTTTCTATCAGGCTTAATACTCTCCATTAGATCCTTCTTGGAAAAAATCTCCAGACTATCTGAAGGCAAATTTTATCAAATTTATGTTATTGGTTTATCTATTACAATTGACTTTCAAAACACAATAACGTTTGTTATTCTTAGAGTAAGAAATAAAATCTGTCGATACTTATTGCATATCAATTTTGTTTTTTGAGATAGGTGGCTCTGATTCCATATAAAATGTTTCCATATTTTTAAAAATATGTAACTGCCCTAATTTATAATTTTTGATAATAATAATAATAATAATAATGTTTATTCACGAAAATGTACATGTAAGTAATATAAACATAAATCATTTGTAAATAAACAATGGAATCACAGAAGCTGTATCAACTACAGCTTGTATGTGATATATCCGTTTCCTAAAATCTAAAACGATAGCTAAAACTATAAACAATTTTTTTTTTCTTACAAGCAAACTTATTTGTATCCTAAATTAAAATAAACAAAATTCTAATACATATTTTCAAATCCGCTGGGTAATTATGTGTCACTTTCGGGTAAATGTCAATTTTGGGTGAATGTCAGTAAAAGGTAAGTATAATAAATTTATTTTAAGTACTAGGTACATTGTTTTTAAAACGTGTTTGTACTACAATTGATTAACAATCTTATGAAATATTTCTCTGTCACAATTTGATATCCACTTTTTTGTTTTTTGTTTAAATAAATTATAATTATAAATATTTTTTATTTCCTCAGGTACCAAATTGAGAACTTTTGGTCCCAAATAATTGCAGTGTTTCTGTCCAATAGTTTTTAAACACCTTGGAGCTACAACAGTGTTATCTTTGCATCGTGTGTTATAAGGGTGATCTAAAAGCGTAACTGTGATTTTTCGTTTATGAATATTTAACAGCATTTGTAGGCAGTATAGCTGTCTGATGTCAAATACTGCGATTTCTGTATACAAGTTATTGCTAGAATAAGTTCGGTCTTTCCCTAGTATAATTTTTAAGATTTTTTTTTTGAACCATATTAAGACAATTAATATAGGTATTACCAACACCTCCCCAGCCAATAATTCCATATAATAATTGGGATTGTATTAATCCAAAATATATAATTTTCATGTCAGGGATTTCTAAATATTCTTTTAAAGATCTAAAATGAGACAGAAAACCACGTAGCCTTTTAGTTAAATTTGACATATGTAAATCCCATCTTAAATGTCGGTCTAATGTTACTCCTAAATATTTTATCGAGCTGGCTTCCGGCATTTGAACATTTTGGTTGATTATTAATGACCCTAAATTGGGTAATTTATGGCTGTAAGAGGTAAAGGGTAAGTATTTTGTTTTTTCCACATTAAGTGTTAATTTATTATATTTAAACCATTTTAAAGTATTGGTACAATCAGATTCTGCTTTTAATTTTAAGTTCTCCCAAGTTTCATCACTATATAAAATTACAGTATTATCTGCGAAGCTTAGTATAGTTCCTTGAGAATTTTGGAGCAGTAAGTTGTTTATATATATCGTAAATAATACAGGCCCTAGTACTGTACCTTGAGGAACCCCGTAAGTAATTTTTTGTTCACTACTGACTATACCATCTAAGTTTACAGTTTGTTTTCTCTCAGACAGGTAGCTTTTCAACAGATCATATGCTTTTCCTCGAATCCCAATATTTTCCAATTTTTCAAGCAGTTTAATGTGGCATACCGTGTCAAAGGCTTTTGAAAGATCGACAAAAATACCTAAAACGGGTTTATTTGAGTCTATTGACTTATAGATATAGGATGTAAGTTTATAAATTGCGTCTTCTGTCGATCTTCCATCTCTAAAACCATACTAATGTTCCGATAATATTTTATATTTTTCTGTGAATTTATTTAGTCTAATTTTTATGATTTTTTCTATTATTTTTGTTACATTTGATAATAAGGATACTGGTCGATAATTTATTATTTTAAGTTTATTTCCACTTTTATATACCTGTATATGGTAAAAAATGTGAAATTTATTACTTAGTGGTAAAAGGACACTCCTTTAGGAAAATATAATGGAAGAGTTAATTGGATTTTCTTCTTGTTGAAGTTAAAAATATTAATTTCTCATGATTTAAAAACAAATACATAAAATGGCCAAAATAGGGCTGCAAAGGCACTTTGTGCGCAATCTCACCTGTTTGTGATGTAATGCGCAAATTCAATTTGACTTACTTTTATTAATAGAGACTGGTATTCCATTTTAAACATACAGTTCACTGGGAAAAGATTATTTAAATATACACCGTCCGGGAAAATAAATAAGAAAAAAAAATTTACTGGCTCCTGGACTAGTGCTGTACCGAAGGAATTATAAGAATGAAACAAATCTACGACCCTACTTACAAATACTGCAATAACGGTCAAGCTTAGTTACGTTGTTGTCAGAAGTAATTTTTTTTGGGATAATTTAAAGACAGTATTGTAAGCATACGTAATTTGACTACTACAGATAAAAACATCGCAAACTTGGCATCAATGTTTTATCCAAATATTGCATTTCTGCCGAGGATCATCCGCGCTGATCTCAGAAATTTTGTAAATATTCATATCTGTCTCGGTTATATATCTATATACAATACCTAAACCCTAAGGCCCGTATTTATAAACAGAACTTACCTGAGTCGGACTTGGGTAAGTCGTCCTTGAACTAAAATCGAAGTTCGGTTAGAACGCTCTAAAGTTCCAGGTGGTTCTGGTGTTACACTGGTATTTAGAGATGGATATTAGCAAATCTGTAACTGTTATGTACATTTACGGATTTGTTACTTCCCATCTCTAAATTCACGCGAATAATCGAACTTCGATTTTAGTTCAAGGACGACTTACCCAAGTCCGACTCAGCTGAGTTTTGTTTATAAATACGGGCCAAAATACCTCTACTAAAAGCAATATAAAATATACCATACTATACCAGACTCTAACTAAACAAATATATTTTTATTTTTTGTACAATATACTTTTTAAAATAAACGTGAAAATAAAAAAAAAACAGTGTCGCCATCTACATAACTAATTGCGGGACACGTCCTCTTAATCAAACAATTATTGTACCGTAATATTAATATAACCTGCAGGTGTTACTTAAGTAAAAAATAATCAATAAAATTGTCATCATTAAAACCATCGACTTCGCGAATAAACCTTTGACAAAATTACTTTAGCCTGCGAATCTCCGATCTCACACCGACAATTTAAACTGAACGCTCACAGTAGCCAAATAAAAATAAAACTCCCCTCAAAATGTACAGGAAACACGTCCGATCAATAAATAAAATAAAATCAGATTAAATTTCAATTACCCACCTTGAAGTAGTAAGTTGGAGACGTTAGATCTCGATAAGAAGTGTTGAAAGACTCTAACGCCGCTCTTGAGGAACGAAAGCACCTCCATAATGTTCTCGACGAATGTGGTGTTCGATTGATTTTTAGTGTTTTCGTTCGAACTTGCCGAAAACGTAGCCGCCACATCCATTAGTTTTTCCTGTGACGATGACGCTGACGACGAGGAAGTCGACGAGGTCGACACAGTGTTGTCCTGTTTTATGTCTTGCTCCTGAGGAAATAAGTATCCGTCCAAGATAACTAAGATACCTGTAAAATAAAAAAAAAACATTATTGTCCATAAGATCAAAATACATGATATGGGATATGTCAAAAGAAAAATATTACATACATATTAAATACATAGAAAAACAGTTGCATTAAAAATATAAATAAAATAACTGAACATTCAAAACGTGAAATCCAAATATTCTTTGACAGAATAAAAACAGTTATCCATCAATATCTGTGTAGTAGGGGTTGTTGGCTTCAGACTAAGTCTCTTAGCCACAGCTTTTTTTTAAGGATTTTAAAAATATGTAATTATATGTTGACATTTGATTTCTTAAGGAAACAATTTATTTCGTCATATATATCTTTATTAAAAGTACTGATATTAGTTGGAAGATTTAGTTTTAGTGAAATTTCATGAATTTGTCGGAACTCTACTTGTATTTGGAATAGTAAAAAAAGATATGGTTCAAGTCACCGACTGTTAAGTTGTCACACTGACATGTAGGGGTCTCGTTAATACCGATTTATGGAGGGTAGATAAAAGGAGGACAATCTTATATGGATCTTTATATTAAAAAGTGGCCACCAAAATGTATACAATTAAGATGGCGCTCGTGTAGCCAGGGGACAAAATCCAATGCTATATAGTCATATAGATTACTCATTCATAAATAAATCAGACAGGAAGCAGTAAATTGAGACCTCCGTGCCATTTTAATATAAGAATTATTTATTGTTTATATTATTATTTCTTAATAAAATTTGACTATTGTCGTGTATTGTCAAAATTTATCTACGATCACAGAACACTTACTCTTCTACGATCAGTCACTTTTCACGGTGTAGTTTTTAGTTTTTTATGGTTGAGCAATATTTATTACTATATACATCATTGGTGTCATTGTGTGATCTGAATTATCGACTGTCGACGTCCCCTGGGCACAGAAGCGCCATCTTAATTGTATACATTTTGAGGGACACTTTTTGTATACAGAAATTGTTCTCCTTTCCTCTACCCTCCATATACCGATTCTAAAGAGGCGTGCTGGGAAAAACCCGTGGTTTAGTTTCATTCGTGTTATAGTTGTGGAATATGACCTACTGATATTGTACAAAAAAATGTGATCAATTTTTTTTTTGGCAGTGTAGGGTGTATATCAATGTAATGATTGTTGGAAGTTGATACGTAGGCATTCCATAAATTTTTCCAATCTGTACTCATTTGGTTCTTAAAGAAATTGATTATATCATCATACGAAAATACATCCTCTATTTCACTAAGGAGAGTAGCCTGTTTCGCCGCCGAATCGACAATTTCATTTCCTCGTATTCCTGCATGTCCTTTGGTCCAAATGAAATCTACTTTAATATTTTTTTTACTTAAGTTGCACAATAAGGATCTAATATTTATTATTATGCGTTGATTATATTTTTTTGTGGCATGACTTTCCAATAATTGTAGAACAGATTTAGAATCTGACATAATCACAGCTTTGTTTATTTTTTCACTCAAGAGAAGATTGAATTGCTTTGGCTTCAGCAGTAAAAATTTAACAATAGTCCGGGATTCGACTTTTCTATAGCTGCAAATTGGGACGTAAAAAGCATAACCTATACCGGTTTCAGACTTCGAATCGTCTGTAAATATTTGAATTGTATTAGTAAAGCGACTTAGTATGGATGAAACGAGGGTATTATTAATAACACTAAGATTTGAATATGAAGGATATAATGCTGTGAACCTGGTTGCAGTGACCTCAAAGTTGGTCATAAAGTGGATATTTTGAGGCTTGTTTGTAGTATTTACTGAATATACTGGTATTAGCGAATGCATCTGCTAGTAAAGGACATTTTTTTTGATATCCAGTAAGTAGGTATTAACTAAATTATCTATACGTAATTGAGAGATAGATTGATCAAGGTACGTGTTAAATGTTCTGTATTTTATTACTAATTTATTAGCTAAGAAAGTTCTGCTTAAATTTAAGGGCGGTTCTTGTGCTTGAGCAAGTATTGCAGAGCATGAAGATGAAATTATTGCGCCGATGCAAATTCTTATAGCTTTATATTGTATTCTGTCGATTATTTTTAAATTAGTATTGGATGCTGATCCATATAACACTTCCATAGTCCATAATTGACCTAATATAGCTCCTTTAGAATATAAGGGCCATTTTGGGGTCTGCATATTATTTAGTTTTCATAATATATCGCAACATGTTAATACGTTTTTCACACTTATTTTGTATATGAGGAATATGTTTTGTCCATAGCAATTTTGTGTCAAGCACTATGCCTAGATATCTGTACTGATTTACAATTGGGAACGTTGTATTTTTTATGGTTTGATGGAAACTACTAATTCTATGTCTTGTGAACCACATGAATGACGATTTTTCTGGAGAAATAGTAAACCCTAACTCCTACAGCCAATCCAGTACATGACATATTGCATGCAATAATTTACTTACACCTTGCTGGTATGACCTTTGGATACTTCTTTTATTTTGCTTAACAAAGACACTAGAAAAATGATAAAAAATCGCCTAAATGGTATTTAGAATACCACTCTCTTTTACCTAATACACAAGATGGATTCAGACTAGGCCGCGGAACTATTGATGTAGTTGCACATTTGGTAATTGATGTACAAAAAATGAATATGTTGTATCCATCAACAGCTTTTCTACTTTACTTTTAAATATTTTTAAATTTTCTATTGATTTTACACTATTCGGAAGTTTGTTATATACCAGGATACCCATGTTTTGAGGGCATTTTTCGTAAAATGCAGAATTATGATATGGTATCATTAAATCACATCGAGAACGAGTCAAATAATTATGATAGAAGTTATTAGTTCCAAAATGTTCTGGATTTGATTTAACGTACATTAAAAGTTTGAAAATATAAATACAAGTGGCAAAATTCGAAATTCCTTAAATTTTTCTCTACATAGCTTCTATAACTTAACGATGCTACATTTTTGAAGTACATGAGAAAATAATCCCCAAAAAATTAAACCAAATCTGATGAGGGATTAGCAATGTGCGTAATAATATGATAACACAATCATAGCAAATACAAGTAGAATTATACAGACGCAGCAAGTCCAAGATAACTCCCCACCAAGATCTAGCGGTAAAAAAACTAGTTCGTTGTCGGCATTTTCTAGCATTTAAATTTTAACTTTTATATTGTTAAGACAAAATAAAGTTCAGCTTTTTGTAAAGTTTTTGTTTTTAAAAAAAAAAACAATTTTTATTAGCGAACCTAAAAGTGGCGCAGTCAGTAGGATTGCCTAACGATGTGACAACAAAAATCGTGTTAAATTGGTCTATTTTAATAGTTTAACAGCAAATCAAAATCGCGAAAATTGGTGAAATAAACTGAGCAAAAGGTGTACATTCAAGCATAGGACTAACATTGCCGAAATTTGGAAAACCTGGACGAGGACCATATCGCCAAATCCAGCTAGTTTTAAGAAAATTAGGGAGAACAGACAGCATCGCTTGACCCCGTTGATATGATGAAAATAATCCTAGGAATTGCGTTCCTGGCAACCACCAACTTCACAAACTGCAAGCTGACTCAACCAAAATTCCACAATATTACCGACAATCCTATACTTTCAACTCTTAAATTAGGAAAGGTTCAAAACATAATTGACTACTGCTCATTTGTAAGAATTTTCTATATTTCCAAAGTAATAGATGAATTTAAGTCACTACAAGACAAATTTTTCGACCTACAAACTATAACAAAAAATAAACTTATAAACCAGACCAAGTCAGATTCTGAGGACATTTTTGTTACTTTTCAAATAGTAACAATATTTAATCAATCAAAACCATCACTTGAACAAACCCATAGAGAAAAACGTGAACTTCTTAATTGTTTAGGTACAATAATTAAATCAATATCTGGAAATTTAGATCAAAACGACGCCGAAAAATATGACAATGCCATAGAAAATCTTTCAAAAAATCAGAATAAGATGAAATCTTTAATTAATGAACAAATTACCTTAATTGAAAATTCTTTAGACATATTTAATAAAAGTAGGTATTAGCTCACAATCAACTAAAAGTAAAATCTCAAATAAACAAAAGTGTTCTAATTTGTTTACTTGAGATTTTAATTTTAGTTGATTGTGAGCTAAGACCTACTTTTATTTTATAAATCGCTCAAATGCAAAATAAACAAACTAACTTTTGAAAGTGTCTATATTCAAGAAGTCACAAATCAAACACCAATTTTATATCAAAATATTTACGATTTACTAGAAAAAAATTGAAACTGCTATCACATTTTCCAAAATAAATGTTTTCCATAATTCGATAATAGATCCTAAACATTCGATCAACCATATTAAATTAATCAATAACAACTTATTAAACAACATTTAAACCAATTTTAAACAATACTTAAATTTGAAAAAATAATGAAAATTAAAAGTTATAGTAAAAACAATAAATTACGAATTATATCAACTTTTCCCATTACCTACTCCTAAAAGCAACCTTTTCCAAATTATTATTCCAAATTCGAAATTCCTTATCCTAAACGAGCAAAATTTCATGTCATTTGACTCAGAATGTCAAGAAATTAGTAACCAAGAGTTTATCTGTCACTAATCAGTACCAACTCCAGTAGAAGAAGACGCCCCCTGCTAAGTTTCATTGTTGAGGTTTTCCAAGAACCTCACCAACTGCCAAACCATCCCTCTCGACATTGTGGACATAAAAATTCAAAAAAATTCGTCAAAATAAATGGATGATCATCTCATCTCAGAACACAATGGCCCAAAGAATCTGTGGACAAGGCAATGACAATGTCCCATTAGAAAGAACATTTTTGTTAAAATTAATCAATAAGTGTAGTGTTAGAATAGGTAAAATAGTTCTGCGTAGCAATGAACTGTCAAAAAGTGAACTTAAAATAATGAAACTTCCTAAAGTTAATATTAAAAACTCTAATGATAAAAATCCTATTTACCTTAAACCTATTAAATTGAACAGTATTGATTTGGAACA